TTTAAGAACACTTTTTAAACCATTTTTAGTAACAATTGTGTTGCTATTACAGTATAGTCTTCTTGACAGAGAGAAATAGCATCATGAATGTTCTTTAACTGGCCAATTGCTCAGTGGTTAGAGCAGTGGTTCTCAACCTTCTGGCCCTTTAAATACAGTTCCTCATGTTGTGACCCAACCATAAAATTATTTTCGTTGCTACTTCATAACTGTAATGGTGCTGCTGTTATGAATCATAATGTAAATATCTGATATGCAGGATGGTCTTAGGCGACCCGTGAAAGAGTCGTTCAACTGCCAAAGGGGTCACGACCCACAGGTTGAGAACCACTGGATTAGAGTGTCCCCCTGAAGACTGAAGGGTCGCCAGTTGGATTCCCAGTCAAGGTCACATGCTTCCATTGGTTTCAGGTTCAAAACCCCACCCCTGGTCGGAGGCAGCCAATCACTGTCTCTCTCTGTCCTCTCTGTCCTCTCTCTCTCTCTCTCTCTCTCTGTCTCTGTCTCTCTCTCTTTCTGTCTCTATCCTTCTCCCTCCCTTCCACTCTCTCTCTAGAGATAAAAGGGGGAAAAAAATCCTCCAGTGAGGATTAAAAACAAAACAAAACTAGAGATAGCCCTGGCCGATGTGGCTCAGTTGGTTGGAATATAGTCCCGTACATCAGAAGGTGGTGGGTTCAACTCCCAGTCAAGGCACATACCAGGCTGCAGGTTCGATCCCTGGTCGGGGGGTGTACAAGAGACAACCAATCAATATTTCTCTCTCACGTCACTGTTTCTCTCTCTCTCCCTTCGTTCCTCTAAAATCAATAAAAATAAAAACCAGAGATAAACACTAGCTGATTGGTTAAAGGAGAGCTACAAAGTCAATATTACAGAAGCTGGTTTGAAAGAAAGTTAAATTCATCAGGACTGTGCATTTGTACTTTGGGACAAATTCATCAGGAAAAATCTTTCACTAAGTAAGAGATCTCACCATTCCGACATGTTCTCATCAGAGCCCTGTTTTTGTTCATCTGCTTCACACTCCATCCTTTCTTTCCGTCCTGTTTTGTTGAGAAAAGTCCTGGTTTCTGCTGATTCACACAATCCGTGGCCTGATGACGTCCAGAGACTATTCTCCTTCCAGCGTGACAGACGCTGCTTCTTGGCGGACTTAAACCTACACCCTCTCTCATAGCTCCAATCTGACACCTTGAGCTTCTGCTGAAGGCTGGCAGCCACCTCTGAAGTCACTCGCTTCACCTTCCGCCTGCGCCTGAGCGGTCGACAAGGTGCATTTTCAGTAAAGGAGTCAGATTCATGCCAAGAATGTTGCTTACTCTTAACAATGGTGTTGAGAGCTGGGTGCCGTTTGGCCACCATTGTGTCATCGGAGTCACTAAAATTGGTGACTGGGGCCATTTCTCGACAGTCCTTAACGGCCTCATCCAGGCTGGACTCAGAAGCCTCACTGTAGCAGCAGGTATGCTCTGCCAGGTGGGTGAAGTCTGAACGGCGCTTCCTGCCTCTCCGTTTGCGAAGCTGCCGCCTCTGCTGCCGAGGGCTCAAGGCCATCTCTTCCCACAGCTCACCAAGCTTATTCTGTTCAGATGTCTGCTCCAAGGCTGAGGCTAAGTCATGTACCAGCTCATCCATGAGGCCACATCTGCCAAAGGAAAGTTAAAAAAAAGAAAGAAAGAAAAAGAGAGCCTGAATAGGACCCGTTGTTTTAGAAAAATTTTACAAAACAAATCATGTCACTTCAGAGTCCACCCTTTCCATAGAAAACAGTCACCTTTCATCTGGCTCCTCTTAGAATCCTACCATCCATGCCCGCTTTGGCCACTGAAAATAGGTGTGTGGCCCTTGTTAAATGCCTGAAGTCAACATGTTTTTAAGCACCAAAACTCATTTACCAAATGACAACAGGAATATTATCAAACTCAGGGGAATAAATCTTTCCCCCTTTTCCCCAATTAAGTTTGTCACTAAATTACCTAATGATAAGATCCAAAAAGATAAAAGAATGTCTCATCAGACAAGAGCAAAAAACACACAACTTCAAAAGCATAGATGAAGGACTATTATATAGTATGAGGTCACTGATAAGAATGCTTGTGCAAGAGAATAGAAAGACAACCTTAGTGACACACTTTAAGGAAAACTGCTTGCAGTTTTCGGGATCCAAGAATCTGTAGTGACCCAGGTTTGTACTCTAAATGGAAAAAAAGAGAATAGGTTTATACCCGTCCTGGTACCAACTACCACCTGGAAGCTACCAGGTAAAGAATCTTGTAAGAGTATATTATATAATTTTTAATTATTAGCAACTTTTAAATTCTTCCCCCATCCTTTAGAAAATAAGTGATCATCCTAATTATGTGCTTAGACCATCACACAAAAACAGGATATAACTGAGGCTGAAATGACAGGGGTGGATGGAGTCTCTAAGATTTGTAGCTCACTGCTTTCCAAAATTTCCTACTTTCCTACTCACTCATATCAAACCATCACACATCATATTTCAGGGGTCACTTCAGAGGCAAACCTTCCAAGGAATGAAAGTAGTAAGACCAATCTTCAAAATGCCCTTTTAAATGGAAATGTCTAATATAATTTGTATGAAACCTATTAAATACATATTAAATTGGCACTTTTTCCCTACCCTTTGTTAAGGCCAAAGTATTTCAAGACCATAATTAGAGCTTAAATCTCCGTGTGACGCCGCCCTCTGGCCCTATTTCGGTTCGTGCAGTTTACATTCTCCAAAGGACTTTTCTAAAAACCTACTTTCATGCGGTCCCAATGCCAACGAACTCAAAGGCAGGAAAACAGTCGGCCGGCTTATCTGCCACCTCGGTGGGGGCAATGGAGACATCTAGTTCCAAAGCTACCAACCAAACAAAACTTCTCCAAGTGTCAAAAGCCACACACACACACACACAGATGACCACTTCCCTTGAGAAAATAACTAGTTTAAAACACCTTGACTGGGGGTTTGAGAAACAACTGTCCCCGGGACCAAAACAGGTAAACAAGTGGGAACCGCTCGCCTAGATCTACTTCCCAAATAAGGAACGACCTGCTTTAAAAACTCGGGCAGAACTGGACAAACTTTAACGTGGAATTAAGTTACCCAACAACTCGGAGTCGAATGCCCGTGCAGAATCCTTTCCTGCCTCCAAAACTGCCATTCGAAAGGCAGGTGACAGGAAGCCTGGGGCTCCCGCACCCCGGGTCCAAGGGCGGACACCCGGTCCCGGCCAGCCCCCGGGGAGAGGACAGGCTACCATCTGATTCACGCAAAGGAACGACGGGAAACTGGAAGGAGTAAGAAGCGAGGCGGGGGCGGGGGCAGGGGCGGAGGAGGCGGGAGAGGCAGGAGGCAACTTCCCAGGCGTGCTCACCAGGGGCCGGGGGTCAGTCTCGTCCGGGAGAGAAACTGCGAAAAAGCAAGTCCCGGTAACCAAGCTCCCTCCGCGATCGGGGGTCACAACATGGCCACGTATGTGAGGGGAAAAAACGCGTGTTTCAAGGGGCTCTCCAACGCCCCGGCCGGCCCCCGAGAACTAGGGCGACCCCTGCCCTGGACACCAAGCCCTCACGCTCCGCCGGCCCCCAAGAGCCAGAAGGAAGAGGGGATGACCGTCGCCCAGGAGACGGCCCGACCCTCAATTGCCCGCCCCGCCTCCCCGAACGGAGGCGCTGGGCCCTGGAAAGCAAGGCCCCGTCACCCTCGCTCCTCCCGCCGGCCGCCGCGGCCCCACAAAGCCTCCGGCCGCTCAGCCACGGCGCAGAGCCCGGAGCCCCGCTGGCGACACCCCCGGAACCCGACCCTCTCGATCCGCTTCGCCCCCTCACCAGCTGCCGCGGGCACCTCCAGCGGCCGCCGCTCTGGGGGCCGAGTCTCCCCGCCAGGGTTTCCCTCTCTGACCTCATTTCCGGTCTGGGCCGGAGGGGTGGGGCGGCGACGGAGTGGGAGGAGCTGTCTGCTCGGGAGGACCCGCCCCCGCCCAGCGCTTCCGGCCCGCGGCCTCACCTACTTCCGCCCCAAGTAGGGCGGGGCCGTGGGGAAGCCTGGGGACCCTACTGGGGGCAAGGAGAGGGGGCAGGACTAGGGGGGTGAGGTTCTTGTCTGGGGAAGGACGTGCTGGCCTTCTCTTCGTCAGGAGACTGGGCGCTGGAGAGGGCCTAGGCCTCGCTTGACCTACTTTATAAAGGGTGTGTGACGTTGAAGGGGAAATGGATCCTCCTTTAGCCATTCAAGTTGGTACAACCTTTGGCAGGGTAGCTTAGCAGTGAGTCACTCAGGGTATTAAAAAATACACATGCCTTGAGCAACAAAACAAGTAAAGTACTACTGGATTAAAACTCAAGAATAAAAGAAATATCTATGAGTTCACACCGATACAAGGTGTGTATACTGATCGGTGTGTATACTGAATACTGATATGAATAAGTTAATAAATGGAAAGAATAAGTTAACTCTAGTGCGGAAGAATTCCAAATAATTGATGTAGATACTCCACCCTGAAGCGTAGCTCTCAACTCCTTACAGGTGGGCTGTGCCTAGTGACTTCCAAAGAGCGCAGGAAGGAGGGAAATGAGTAACTTGGTAGTAGAGAAATCAGAGAAACACTTCCTCGCCAGGTGATCAAGGTTAACATCAGCCGTGATAAATCATGTTGACAGTCCGTGGACCAGATATGACGAGAGTGGTATTTTATCTCCTTCCAAACCCATAACCTCAGTCTGATCAAAGGAAATCAGACAAACCCCAATTGAGGAACATTCTGCACAATGCCTGACCAGGATTCCTCAAAATTGCCAAGGTCATCGAGGACAAGGACAGTCTGAGAAACTGTCACAGCCAAGAGGAGCCTAGGGCAACGTGACAACTTACTGTAATGTGGTATCCTCGGTGGGATAGTAGATCAGCAGAAAGGACATTAGGTAAAAAATAAAGAAATCTGGATAAAGTGCGGGCTTTGGTTAATAACAGTGTCTCAATATTGGTTCATTAATTGTGACAAATGTGCTATACTAATTTGCACAGCTAGAGATATTAATAATAGGGGAAACTGGGTACGAGGTATATAGGAACAGTGTAATTTTCTGTAAGCCTAAAACAATTCTAAAATTAAAGTTTATTTTTTAAAATGCACATGCCTGTTGGCCCAGAAATTCAGTCTCTAGGAATTTTATTGTAAGGAAAAATTGGAAATGGGCACAAAATACAGGTTAAACACAGGTAAATTCATCTTTGCAGCATTGTGGAAGGAGAGGTGAGAAGATTAGGAGAAAAGCCAGAAACCCTATAACAGTGGTTAGTTATCTAAACTATGGTACATCTATGGGATGGGATACCTTTGAGCTTTTGAAAATTGTTGTGGGAGAATATTTAATGACATGAAAAGTTGTCAAATTATGATTGTGTACATTTCTATATGAATGTTATACTTTAATAAAACAGTTACTCTAAACATGTAGAGTATGACTCTAATCATATATAAAGGAAATTAAATCTTTGCATAGGAATATGACCAGAATGATACACTACAAACCACCCAAAATAGTTCCATTATACCATGGAACTGACTATATCTGTGTCCTGTTGTTTGGGTGGATGTTGAGAATTGTTTATAGGGTAAACTTATTATGAAAAGAATTAACAGAGGAGACATAGATGACTGAGCTTTTGAGCCAGAGTGACTAAAAGAGTGGCATTTGCACAGTTAGAGGAGAAAAGAAGAGATCTGGATAAAGGGAATCTGGATAAAGTACAGTTTTGTGGGAAGATGATTGATTCTACCTTGGACATGCTGAACCTGTGACTCCCCAGGACAGAAAGATGGAACTATTCCAAAGGTGTCCACAGCCATCAGCCCTTTTTCCTGCGTTAGTGAAGTTCTCCCCAACAAATCACATCAGCTTCCCAGGTGTCAGTTGCCTCTAGCAGCACTGAAAGCACCCACTTTTCTTGAAATCCAGCTTTTATTTTCATCTTTCTGCTAGATATCGCCACTTGTTTACTCCACCAGCACCTCCAAGTTAAGATGGCAAAACAAAGTTTAATTTCTTCCATGCTCCCTGTGAAATCTGCCCCTTCTCCATTGTTCCCTGTTTGGGAAATGTCACCACCATTATGAAGTCACCCAGGTGAGAAGCTTCAAGGCCATTTTTAGTTCCTGCTTCTTCCGCATACCTTTCTTATCTAATGAAATGCCAATCCTCATGGATTCTGCTTCTACAGTATTCTTGCACCCACCCTGCCTCTTTTGCTTGCTCTTTGCCATTGGCCTTGTCTGGGTAGGCAACCACGCTTCCGGATGGTGTAGCTAAGCCAAGACTGTTAAAGCTGCAATTTGTTGGGGAGCATGGGGAAATATAATAAAAGGGCAGCTGTAACTGGTTTGGCTCAGTGGATAGAGTGTTGGCCTGGGGACTGAAAGGTCCCAGGTTCGATTCTGGTCAAGGGCATGTGCCTTGGTTGTGGGCACATCCCCAGTAGGGGGTGTGCAGGGGGCAGCTGATGGATGTTTCTCTCTCATGGATGTTTCTAACTCCCTATCCCTGTCCCTTCCTCTCTGTAAAAAATCAATAAAATATATTTTTTTTAAAAAAAAAGAAAAAGAAAAGAAAAGAAAGGGCAGCTCACACTGACTTTGTGAAGGGTCCAGAAAGGGAAATTAGAATTTATGGAGCACCAATATGCCAGGAACTGTCCCAGAAATGCATAGAAGATTAAGTTAGATGATAAAATAATGCAGTTAGACATTGTTTAGTGATGGGGATACATTCTGAGAAAGATGTTGTTAGGGGATTTCATCATTATGCAAATGTCATAGAGTGCACTTACACAAACCTAGATGGTATAGCCTACGTCACACCAAGGTATGTAATATAGCCTGTTGCTCCTAGGTTATACCTATACAGTATGATACTGTACTGAACACTGTAAGCAAGTGTAACACAATGGCATTTGTGTATCTAAACATATCTAAGCATGAAAGAGCTATAGTAAAGATACAGCACAAAAGATTTTTTAAATGGCTTACCTGTGTATGGAACTTGCCATGAATAGAGCTTGCAGGACTGGAAGTTGCTCTGGGTGAATGACTGAGTGAATGTGCAGGCCTGGGATATTGCTGTACAATACTGTACACTTTATAAATACTGCCCCACGTGCCCTCCCCTTTCTTCCTTTGGACAGGGTCAGAAATAGAGCATTGAAGTTGTCAAGGCTGCTCCATGAACAGGGATGTGGGTTGGACTGATTGGAAATACCAAAGAGAAATTGGCTGAGTAAGATGTAGATCACCCTAATAGTGACTGTCAAGAGGGCGTTAACGGTGGCCTGAGGATCAGTAGAAATGAGAAATCAAGATGGAGAGGTCAATATAGGAGATTATTGTGGCCATATGATTTTGACTATTTTGCATGTTGGAGCAGTGGTCATATTAAAGAAATTTGTGGTATTCATTAAAAAATGAGGGTTTCTAATATGAAGAGGGTAAAGAACTGAGGACTCAATCTTTTGACTTTGATTTTGGCTCCATTGGGCCTACCTAGCACAAAGGATTCTCTGTGGCATTGAATTGATGGAAGAAATAAAACTTATCTGTGTTTTACATCAGTACAATCTGAAAATATATCCAAAGTACAGGACAGGCTGGCTCCACACTACCACAGAAAGCTTTTACTAATATGGCAGTGGCACTTAGAATTTTCTATGGTTGCTCCTGTAGATCTGTGTCCTTGTACAGGATCTTAGGTCTTCAACAATTTACAGCAAGGTACTCTGAAGACCATCAGGTTAGATCTGGGAAGGCTGAATGTGTAGCCCTGGGGGGATCAGGCTCCTCTGTGCTGAAACAGGTCAGTGGCTACTGGTTAAGATGTCATCTGTGCACTGAAAACAGGTGCAGTGAGTGAGCGGGAACCTATTGCCCAGCCCCACTGATACTGATCCCATTAGAGAGAAAAAAATTCCTCCTAAATCACATATCCTTTTATTTCTTACAGAAAGTTTAGTTCCATTATAATCTTACTAGAGGCCCAGTGCACAAATTTCATGCACCGGGGTGTGGGGGGAGAGGTCCCTCAGCCGGGCCTGCACCTACTCACAAATCGGGACCCCTCGAGGGATGTCTGACTGTCAGTTTAGGCCCGATCCCACAGGGATTCCTATGGGATGGGGCCTAAACTGGCAGTCGGACATCCCTCTCGTAGTCCAGGACCACTGGCTCCTAGCCGCTCGCCTGACTGCCTGCCTCACTGCCCCTAACCACTCGCCTGCCTGCCTGATCACTCCTAACCACTCCCCTACCTGCCTGATCACCCCTAACAACTCTGCCTGCCTGCCTGATCACCCACTGCTGCGGCTTCATCTGGAAGGACATCTGGAATGACGTCTCGAAGGTCGTTCCGCTGTCTGGTCTAATTAGCATATTATGTTTTTATTTATTATAGATGAGTCCAAATACTGGTTGACCAAATACTGGTAGAACATGACTGTTAGTAGTTAACATCTCTTGAGCATTCAGCAGGCGCCAGACACTATCCTAGATATTAACATGGATTAACTCAATAATCCTCACAGAAATCCTTTGACGTAAGTACAATTATCTCCATTTTACAGAGGAGAAAACTAAGGCACAGAAAGGTTAAGTAGCTTGCTCAAGGCTGCACAACTGGTAAATACATAACCAGGCAGAATGATTCTAGGAGACATGCACTTAACCACTAAATTATAATGCTTCTAAAATGAATGTGAGTGTTCACCACATTGAATACACATAGCAAAACATACATACATACATACATGATATATATTGTTAGACATATGTGGATTATACAAAGATATTTATATCCGCCATTATTTATTGACAAAATCATTTAACTAATCCTCAAAATTATCCTTTAATGTAAGTGC